GTACCAATTTTCGTAATCCTCAGTCAAACCTTGTCTTGGGGCTGACAGTTTTAATGGTCCTAGGGGGCGCTATTTCAGAATATAGGCCACGCCCACAAATCTCAGATGCCCATTTCTATTGGGGGTCAGACTAGGATCACTCACCAGACATTTTGTGGCGATGTCACGATAATTGAAGAAATGAGAGGCAAACGTATTGCCATGGCGTGATGGCGAATTTCGCCATGCTCCCAAAGCCCCGCCTTTTTTCAAAACCTGCCAGTACTGTAGACCAAGTGACCTCAACTTGTCAGCTGCTATTTACCAGAGATTCCAGGTGATTGGGTAAAAGGAGTCCAATAGGGAGCTGTGAAAAAAGAGTGGCGTGGCGAAAGGTCAAAGTTTGAGGCTTAGCCACGCCCACACCTTTATACTTATTTAAAATCCGACGGTTGAATTTTTTCCTCTATGTCTTAAGAGTATATAGCAGAAGCTCGAAGGCAATTGGTGAAAAGGGCGACGGAGCATCACTCTCCAAACAACGTGTGTGAAAACCACTAAATCGCGCACTTGGACCAAAATGGCCGACTTCCTGTGCGACTTTGCACTTGGCTCCAAGAGACTTTTTTGTAGGTCCTGAGACACCACATTAGTGTACCAAATTTCGTAATCCTCAGTCAAAGCATGGCTTGGGGCTGACAGTTTTAATGGTCCTAGGGGGCGCTAATACAGAAAATAGGCCACGCCCACAAACTTAAGCTGACCTTTTCTATTGGGGGTCAGACTAGGATCACTCACAACAATGGTCGAGGTGATATCACGATAAATGAAGAAATGAGAGGCAAACGTATTTCCATGGCGTGATGGCGAATTTCGCCATGCTCCCAAAGCCCCGCCTTTTTTCAAAACCTTCCAGTACTGGAGACCAAGTGACCTCAACTTGCCTGCTGCTATTTACCAGAGATTCCTGGTGATTGGAAAAAAGGAGTCCAATAAGGAGCTGTGAAAAAAAAAGTGGCATGGCGAAAGGTCAAAGTTTGAGGCTTAGCCACGCCCACACCTTTATACTTATTTAAAATCCGACGGTTGAATTTTTTCCTCTATGTCTTAAGACTATATAGCAGAAGTTTGAAAGTGATTGGTGAAAAGGGCGACGGAGTATCACTCTCCAAACAACGTGTGTGAAAACCACTAAATCGCGCACTTGGACCAAAATGGCCGACTTCCTGTGCGACTTTGCACTTGGCTCCAAGAGACTTTTTTGTAGGTCCTGAGACACCACATTAGTGTACCAAATTTCGTAATCCTCAGTCAAAGCATGGCTTGGGGCTGACAGTTTTAATGGTCCTAGGGGGCGCTATTTCAGAAAATAGGCCACGCCCACCAGATGTTCACATTAGATCTTTTGGGGGGCCGGACTAGGATCACTCACAAGAAGTTTCGTGACGATATCTTTGGAAATGACGAAATGGGAGGCAAACGTAAGGCCACGGCGGTACGCCTGAATTCTCCGCGCCGCCACAGCCCCGCCCTCTGCCGAAAACTCCCATAAAGTGACGCCAAGCAACCCCCACTTGTCTTGAGTTACCAGCTACAAATTTGTGGTGATTAAGTGAAATGGGGCAATTTGGGACCTTTCACAGTAAAACTTGATCTTTTTGGTCCTGAGGGGGCGGGGCTTGTGTGATGTCATCATCCGACCATTCAATTAACTTTGTGGGTTGATGACGAATGACCACAGAAAGTTTGGTAACTCTATTCTATTCAGTTATGAAGTTATAGCAATTTAAATATTTTTGGCGAGTAGTCAAACTTCGAGGCCTGGCCCCGCCCCTTCAACATATACGAAAACTCAGAATTCTCATCTCATTTTGTTCGCCCATCCCTTCTTAGCAATTTTACACAATTTTTGAGACGATCGTGCGAAAAATGATCGAGCAATCCAATCAGCAACGGACCCTAAAAACGGCAAAAACGGCAAAAAATCGCCATTTCAACCCAAAATGGCCGACTTCCTGTTTGATATTGACCATGCTTGCAAGAGACTTTTCTGTGCGGACTATTGAGTACTACAAGTGTACCAAATTTCATAACTGTACGATAAACTAAGCTTTATGGAGAGGGTTTTTTTTCACTTTCTAGGGGGCGCTGTTCAGTCATTTTCTGTGCGATTTTTTTGGGACCTTTAAAATATCAAATTTTTCACCAGGCCTGACAAGTTTGCAAAATATTGTGAGTTTTGGGGTATGCTAAGGTCCCCAAAAAGCCGTTCAAAGGGGCACGAGAATAACAAAAAATAATAATAAAGAAAAATAATAAACAGAGCAAAAACAAGAGGCCTTCGCAGCGCTTTCGCTGCTCGGGCCTAATAAACAGAGCAAAAACAAGAGGCCTTCGCAGCGCTTTCGCTGCTCGGGCCTAATAATAATAAATAATAATAATAAACGGAGCAGATACAATAGGCCTTCGCAGCTTCACTGCTCGGGCCTAATTACAAATTGTAGAAGACAAATGGGTAAAACAAGGGATAGAGTGAACCAATGAAAACAGGGAAATAAAATCAACATAAAAGAGGGCCAAATTCAAACACATTCAGGAAACGCCAAGCGGAGGAGGTGGGTTTTTAGGTGTTATGTCCCCGACAGGAGGTGTTAAAATGTGAAGGAGGGGGTAACATAAGAATTGCGACAGTGGAATTAAAATGGGTTTAACTGTGATAAAAGGTTGTAAAAACAAATGCAAACAGATGGCGAGCATTATTAAGATAATGCTAAACAAAAATACTCTCAAAAAGGTTAACATTAAAAGAGCAGTTACCAACATTAAAAACACCTGGTTAAAACTTATGTTGAAAAGTTTTACCGGAACAGAAGGTGTTTTAAAACCAAAGTCAATAAAACTGTATCACAGAGTTAACCTTTAAAACGATCCCTCTGGATCACTCAAGAGTTTCAACTATAAAAGTTAAACTCATCAAAACGAAGGATCGAACAAACAAATGAAGGCGTTTAAACAAAACGAATCATGGAGGCCAGCAGAACCCCTGCACTGCTGCCTCCCAGACTGCTGAAGGCACAGCCTTTTTATCCTAGGTGTGGCTCATCAGGAGAATTCAGCTCAGCTGTGCTCCTCAGCAGCCTGGAAGAGAGGAGGAGGAGGGGCGGTGTCCAGTCAATCACCAGAGCTGGGCGATCCTGGCTGCTTTTTCCCTCTTCAGGCTGGCAGCCGTGACATTAGGCGACTCTTAAAGACTGGCAGAGATGGGGACAGCCTAACTGAGGGTGGCAACTGGTTCCAGAGTGACGGTGCTAGGACTGAGAAAGCCCGGTCCCCGCGAGTATGACACCTAGAACGAGGGACAGCGAGCAGGCCTTGGTCGGAGGAGTGTAGAGCGTGTGATGGGGAATGTCTGTTCAGGAGTGTGGCTAGATAGGGGGGGGAGCACCACCCTGGATGAAATAATAAACAAAGACGAGGAGTTTGAAGTGTGAACAATAACAGACCGGAAGCCAGTGCAGGGAGGCCAGAACCGGACTGATGTGGTCCCGTTTCCTGGTCCAAGTCAGGAACCTGGCTGTGCTGTTCTGCACAACCTGTAGGCGACGCAGTGATGACTGACACAACCCTGCATAGAGAGAGTTGCAGTAATCAAGCCTAGAAATTACAAATGCATGCAGTACCCACTCCAGGTGGGCTCTTGACAGCATAGGCTTGATTTTTGCAAGGCGTCTCAGGTGAAAGAAACTGGACAGGATCACAGAGTTGATGTGAGCATCAAATTTAAGTCCAGCATCAATTTTCACCCCCAAACTGGTGCCAACTGGTTTTGAGTAGGGAGAAAGAGGGCCAAGATCAACATAATGACCCACAGCTCTGCTGTTGGGGTGAAAAACAATGAGCTCTGTCTTTCCCTCATTCAGATGCAGAACGTTGGCCCTTAGCCAAGACTTCACCTCGTTAAGACAGGACACAAAGGACTGGATAGGACTGGATTTGTAGTCTTGAACATATTTTCACGCCAAATGTAAAATAACTTTTGCCCGTGTTCAAAAATAAGCTTTCTTTGCATCAGAATGTGTCTTTAAAATTCACAGGCATCATATGTGAAGTCCATGGCACACAGCAAAGTGGATTAGAAAATAGCTTTTATCGCCCCGTTGACTTGCATTCATTTTTTCTTATTTCCGGGGACCCATGGTAGATGACCCATGGTACTTAAGTATATGACCCATGGTAGATGACCCATGGTACTGAAGTAGATGGCCCATTGTACTGAAGTAGATGTCCCATGGTAGATGACCCATGGTACTGAAGTAGATGTCCCATGGTAAATGACCCATGGTACTGAAGTAGATGTCCCATGGTAGATGACCCATGGTACTGAAGTAGATGTCCCATGGTAGATGACCCATGGTACTGAAGTAGATGTCCCATGGTAGATGACCCATGGTACTTAAGTATATGACCCATGGTAGATGACCCATGGTACTGAAGTAGATGGCCCATTGTACTGAAGTAGATGTCCCATGGTAGATGACCCATGGTACTGAAGTAGATGTCCCATGGTAAATGACCCATGGTACTGAAGTAGATGTCCCATGGTAGATGACCCATGGTACTGAAGTAGATGTCCCATGGTAGATGACCCATGGTACTGAAGTAGATGTCCCATGGTAGATGACCCATTGTACTGAAGTAGATGTCCCATGGTAGATGACCCATGGTACTGAAGTAGATGTCCCATGGTAGATGACCCATTGTACTGAAGTAGATGTCCCATGGTAGATGACCCATGGTACTGAAGTAGATGGCCCATGGTAGATGACCCATGGTACTGAAGTAGATGGCCCATGGTAGATGACCCATGGTACTGAAGTAGATGTCCCATGGTAAATGACCCATGGTACTGAATATGGAAATAACTTACTTAGGCTCCCCATTATGTTGCTGTGAACAAACAGTAAAACTGTCCAGGAAGCACAAAAAATACAAAAATTATAACAGTGATCATAGCCAAATGGTTTCTGGTTTCATCAAATTATTTTATTTTAATTATAGTTGCAAGAAGTTAGCTTAACTCTAGCCATCAAACACAAGGGCCATTTGAGAACAGCCTGAGTGAAGTATTACGGTCCATCTGGTGACCGAGGTTTGATTTAAACCAAGATTTATTAAACTCTGCTGTTCTTGGCAAACATTTGTGTAAAAGAGTTAATGTCAGAACACAAATCTCTTTGCTGTAGGCAAGCACACATGCGCGCGCGCACACACACACACACACACGCTCATACAACACACAACTAAAACACTTGTAACAGCAACATCAGCTGTCCTGTGCTATAAGAACTTTGGCTTTCTCCTGGTTGTGGTTAACAGCGCCGTCTAAGAACTGAACCCAGGTCAGTTCTGACTCTGCACACACATGACTGGACCTGGTGGGGTGTACAAAAGGTAAACTTGTGAGAACACAAAACTTAAATATCCATATTTCCTTGAAAATAAACATTTTATTCCACACCTTCAACTAAACTAAACTAGAACAACTAAAACTACAACAGATCACAATGGCTTTAATAGATTAATCAAATTAATCACTCGCAATAAGACAGGACATCAGCTGGTATCGTAACTATAAAATAAAAAGTCACATTAATCTTTGTCTTTCATCCAGTCTGAACTGTAAACGGTGTCGTACAGGACACAAGGCAAGAGGTTCGATCAGTTCCAGGAAGGATTTTCTCCCCGGGGTTATGACACATTATTTAAAATGAGTTTTTAATCTAGATTTGATGCAAAAAATATATATAAATGAAATAATAATAATAATAATAAAGAATGGAATTAAATCTTCTCGTGTGGAAATACTGAATAAGTAAGAAGTGAAACACTCAAACTTCTCAGCAAGGTGAGTCCTAGTGTTTGAAAATGATTCTTAGATAAACCAAAGGGTTCAAATGAAGGCAACTGGACTTCTTTGGTATCTTGAAAACGTTTCGCTTCTCATCCGAGACGTCTTCAAGAAACCAAAGAAGTCCAGTTGCCTTCATTTGAACCCTTTTGGATTACCATGACCTGGATGACTGAGAACCTTCACCAGCATATTCTTAGACAAACTTGGGCAAGCTTTAATTATCTCACTGTAAAGACCCATCCAAAGACAAAAGGTCCCTGACCGGCTATGCTAAGTGTTACAAACCCCTGAATAATAATGCTAAACAAAAATACTCTCAAAAAGGTTAACATTAAAAGAGCAGTTACCAACATTAAAAACACCTGGTTAAAACTTATGTGGGACGGTGTGATGACTGACACAACCCTGCATAACTATAGTTAACCATCCCACTGTACTAATGGGTGTGACCCCGCGAGGAAAGTTGACCATTGAGCAGGGTTGATGGTTTAACCCTTGGGTCCATGTGACAGGGGTGAGGAGTGAGCACCACCTCACCCCTGCCAAGTGGACCTCAAGGGATAAACCATCAATCCTGCTCAATGGTCAACTTTCCTTGCGGGGTCACCCATAAAGACAGTGGGAGGATTAAAGGAAAAATGTGGCTCTGCAAGTAAAGAGTAATGACTTCTCTTGGAAACACTTAAAATATCACCAAACAGGAGCAACATCCCTGCTGAAACTACTGGCTCTGTGACCTCTAGTCACAAGAGTAATTAACATTCCACGAATATTCCCACGGCTGTCTGTCTGGGAGACCAACACACCCCAACAGTACAACTGACTGTCAGCTGTTTGCAGTTTACACCTTTCGCCTCTCAGCATCATTTCATTACTCTCAAATGTTCCTGTGTCAGACAGCCAACAGTGTTTACTGGTTCACCGCCAGGTTTAATCTTGAATAAGAACAATTCTCAGAATCAACTTCTTATCAACGAACATTTAGCTTTGATTGTGGATCTTTTGTTTATGGCAAAAGTTAATCAAACTTACCTGATAATTTCCAAAAGTTTCCTTAAAAGTGCTGCCAATTTAGACACCTAGGGAAATAAATAAATAAGTAAATAAATAAATAAATAAATATAGGCTGCACAGTGATGCAGTGGTTAGAGCTGTTGCCTTGCAGCAAGAAGGTCCTGGGTTCGCTTCCCAGCCTGGTGTCTTTCAGCATGGAGTTTGCATGTTCTCCCTGTGCATGCGTGGGTTCTCCCCGGGTACTCCGGCTTCCTCCCACAGTCCAAAAATATGACTGCTATGGTCTGTCTAAATTGTCCTTAGTTGTGTGTGTGTGTGTATTAATTGTTTGTCCTGTGTGTCTCTGTGTTGCCCTGCGATGGACTGGCACTCTGTCCAGGGTGTACCCCGCCTGATTGCCCATTGACTGCTGGGGATGGGCACCAGCCCCCCCGTGACCCTACGTGGACAAGCGGGTTCAGACAATGGATGGATAGATGGGGGGGGAGAGAGAGAGAGAGAGAGAGAGAGAGAGAGAGAGAGAGAGAGAGAGAGAGAGAGAGAGAGAGAGAGAGAGAGAGAGAGAGAAGTTTTAAAGTTTAAGAAGATTTATTTCTAAACAATTTCAAACAAGGCTAACTAACTCTATACACTCTGTGTGATGAATGGATCTAGGCGTGAATGAGGCAAGATGGATGGTGAGCCCCTTCGCCTCTGACGGCAAAATGCGTGTCAGCCCCGCTAATCCCCTTGGAGCCATAGATATTTATATATAAATGTGTTTATATACATAGTGACGTATACTGCGCGCCGAGTGCCGTCCGGAAGGGATATAAACACAGATCAACATGGCCTCTCACTAGTATCTTTCAACCACCTACAACATGGCAAACTGGACGGACGTGGAGACCATGGAGCTTTTGGCCATGCGAGCGGACAAACAGATTAGTCGCCTTTTTACGGGGACGGTGAGAGACAGCCAGCTGTTCGACAGAGCGGTGAAAACACTGGCTGAGCAGGGACGAAAAGCAGGTGAGATCAAAGCTAAAGGTCCTGAAAAAGAAATTTCATCAGTTTGACGTGTCTTCCGAATGACGCTGAATGCGTGACCCTGCACGTCACATGCGGGGGGGGGGGGGGGGGGGGGGGGGGGGGGCAGCGACCTCCCTTTCTCCCATCTTGGTTTGAGAGGTGCCTGATGGCAGTTTATTCTAGCTCATAGAATTCTATCTATCTATCTGAGCTGAAGTCAAGACTTTTGTCTATTGCACAAGTAACAATGGCGGCTACAAACACGTCGTTTGTACCTCCGTTCAGCAATTCCTGCAAATGACAACATTTTAACAAATTAAGTGGAGAAAGAAGGACACTGAGAGAATAGAGTCCTTATTTTAACGATGGCCTTTAATGGAGCTGCGGCTGCTACCTCCATACTGATGTAGTCAATGTAGATGTGGAGTCAGAGTGAGGAAACGGGGAATTAGGGTGTGAAGAAGTGCACTGACAAGGACAGACCTCTGAAAACCTCTGTCAGTACTTATCTCCACCGAGTCGGTGACGTGCAAAACAGATTTTAAGTAACGTGACAGTTTAAAGTCACTCCCAAAAACATCAGATATGCAACACATATGAAAATGACCTGGGATGAATTTGACCAAAAATAAATAAATCAGAGCTCAGACTGTCCTAAAAAATCTAATATGAGTCGTATAAGGGCCAAAACTTTCAGATCTGATGCGTTTTAACTGCGGTGTGAAGGTAGCCCGGCATCTGCGTTCGCCACGTTTTAAAATAGTAAGTTAAAAAATCCACTTTCCTCTGCTCACCAAACTCTATGGTGTCTTTTCCTTTTTATTTAAAGTATTTTTCCCATTTGAAAATGCCAAACTTCAACCAGTCGGCCACGCAATAATTATAAGCTCTCAAATTAAAAAATTCAACCCTCATTTAAATATTTATGACAATGTTCAAAACATCAACTCAATCTTGTTTTTAATGAGCAAAGGAGAGGCTGGTCTTACGTTGCTGTCCACTCCACTGTAGTCCATCGGGGGGTAGAGACAGAGCGCCAGATCATCGATTCTGAGGAGAACCAACACCAGACACAGAACATTACTCCTCTGGAGATAACCACTTATAAAAAGAGGTACTTCCTGTTTAATCAACCTAAAGCCCCATTCCCACCTGTACCGGGTCGGCCCGGGCCGGGTAGCCCCAGTCGGCCCCAGCCTGGCCCGGTTGATTCCACACATCCTTGCCTTAAGCCCATGTGGGCTGATTCTACCCACCAATCAGAGGCTTGCTCTAATGGAAGGTGTGAATTTGCTGTCAGCAGTGGGCGTGTTGGCCCTGGTCGGCCTGAAGCAGTACCCCTCGGGAAGAGGGCCGAGAATGAGCCTTGGTTGGCCCGGGAAAATTCCAGGCCACCCAGATATGTAAACAACCTACGCTACCCGGCCCGGGCCGACCCGGTACAGATGGGAATGGCCCATATAACACCCCATTGAGCTTGTAAACGTCAATATAACTTATTGCAATTAGAAAAACATTTTTGGGTTCATTTTTATTATTTACCGAGCAGCTGTGTTGTCCTTAAGCTAGCTCCTTTAACTGTTGTTAGCCATCAGTGCAGCAGAAGCTATCAGCATGTGTGTGAGTGCTTACCCAGGGCTGATTTCCATGCTGATGTCTGCCAGGTCATCCAGCTGGGCGACGTTCTGAGGAACGTTGATGTCGCCGTTAGCTTGGACGGCTGATGCGAGTTTCCTCAGACACACCGCCGATGCTTTCATCAGACCCTGACATGGACCAATCACCTGCCGGTCCTTCTCTGACCAGTAGGTGTCCTGGTTTCCTCGAGGGTTTTCGTCGTCGTCGCCATCATCCAGTATGTCACTGAATGGGTCCTGGGCCTCAGCTAACGCCTGTGGGGTCCAGTATCACAAGTTCACAGTCATAAACATTTTTCATGAAGATTATAATTGATTTAGGGATAGAAATAACAGATTCTGTTAGTAATCATGTAATATCTTCGGACAGTTCCACGAAAGGACCAGAAACTACAATAAAGTATCCCAGAATTAAAGATTGAATGGGAACAATTCAATAAAAAGTTATTTTTAACAATAATTCCTCCACAGGGTGTTTAGGGGTGTGCAGAATGAAGGTACAGTATTTCCTTTAAAAGCTCTATTTTAATTAAAAAATAATCAAATATTTATTTTGACGGGCATGACACTAGTTTATGTTTACATCTACCAGCTAGTAGAGGGCACCGTTGCTGGTTACCAACCAGCCCGCTCGGCACAGCGAGGCTGGCCCTGTGGAAAATGGCGGACTCTGCAAGTCATCAGCTGCTTTTGAGCCCAGAAGATGTGGATTTAACGCTGTGTGTGTGCGTGCGTGCGTGTGTGTGTGTGTGTGTGTTTACCTGCTCAATCTCCTCTGTGGCATCTTTCACAACTCCGATCTGAGCGGACAGAACCACCAGCAGAGCTGCTTTATTATCTGTAAATTAACATTTTGTCTCAGTAAAACAGGATGGAACTGAAGATTATGTTGCTAGAAAACGTTTGCTTGGTTCAGTCGTGCAGTTACAGGGGTGAAAGATAAACTAGAAGGAATTTAATTAAATATGGCCGTGTCATAAAATATTCTGGATATTACAATTTTATTATATTACAGTTTGTGGAGCTGGTTACTATGAAAAGTTAGTTTTAAAACCAAACAAAAACTGACCTAAAGAAGTCACCACTGATCCGAACAATGGAGCTTATTTAAATAAAAAGCAGTTTGGCCTTTGTGTTATGAACACTGATCATATTAAAGCAGAAAAATGACTTTTTTCTAGTAGAATTCTCTTAAATGTGTGATTAAAATGAAGGAGACCAGAATTTGATTCAAACAAGAAAAGCTTACTGTCTGCTGCCAGAAACAAATAAATAAAACAGTGTTGAGCAGGGACAGCCTTTTACTGCCCCTGTGAAATCAGCTCACCTCGTGGTAACTGGGCAAACAGGTCACAGGCAGTCCAAACTCCTCCTGTTGATGTGAGCTGTTCCTGGGTCAGACTGGATGACAGCAGAGGAGGAGGAAGAGGCATGAAACAAACCGGTGAAATGCACAAAGATGGAGATTAAGACTATAGAAGGAAAAAACTATTTTTGTTTTGTTGAAAGTTAAATTAGTTCGTTCTTATTACCTGAGAGCTTCCAACAACTTCTTTGTTTGCATCTGTTTTTTAATCTTGAGGAGTCTGAATAGAACTTTTTCAACTAGACCGCCCAGTGCCAGATTATTTTTGTTTGATTCAATTCAAATCAATTCAGTGTATTTGTGTAGTGCCAAGAGTCGTCTCGTTGTCTAGTGAAGGCACTTCACTAAGTAAACATTCCAATTGAACCTACTTATCAGTTCAGTTCATTATTGGCCTTGCCTGCCAGACTGTCTACACAGAGAACTGGTCTGGTTACTCACAGCAGAGAGGCCCATGAGGGACAAGACAAGCCAGCTAAAGAATAACCAATCAGAAAAGGGGAGGAAATGCCAAAATTTAATGTGCAACGCTGTTGTTTTTTAGCTGTAGTAAAAAAATGGTGTCTGGCGATGACGCAAACATCTTTCTTTAGAAGAAAGGCTTTTAACACGTCTACTTGTTGCGGTTTTAAAAACGTGTTCAAGTCATTTAGAACTGAGGAAAGAGCCGCAGCGAACTCTGCTTCAGACGGCGTCTTCGTTGTTTATAAGAAACTCAGCATGGTGGTGTGTGACACACGCTGTTCAGCGCTTATTGGCTCAGTTAGAATTCTCAGGGGATGATTTGAATAGGAGAGTTCCCAGCCCCATGCTTCCAGCCCAAGCCCCCACAATGCGGGTGAAAAATTGAAGCAACTCCGGAAATGAAATAAATTGCAGTTCCACCCTCATCCACTGGGGGCTGGTGTCAGAAGCGAGCAAATCCTCATTGACTCCCATGTTAAAAATACCAATTTCACAGCAGAAATAAGTGTACTAAAAGCCTAAAATTCTGTATAATTAATGAGCATCAGACTCAGGTGACCGCAGAGCTAGCTCCGGGGAAAGGCCTCAGTCTGAGCCTCGGTCTGGCCTGGATTAGTTGTAGCGTTTGTGCATTCTTTTTGGATATTATTTGTGCAATTGTTGGACAAAATGACTTGCTGTGGCATTAATTGCACTAATAGAGCATCCAAGGAGTTACCACTTCATTTTTTTCGGTAAGTAAAATTATATTTATGTATTTTAGGTCACTGCTGAGCTGAGCTTAGATTTTAACATGTACTGATTAACCATGAAATTTAAATGTAATAGGGTAAAACCCAGTGCATTTAACATAATGCTGCACTTTAGAAAATGGGTTGAAATATAACATGTTGGTGGAGCTGGGTTCCGACTATCAGCTTGTGGAGCTCTTGGGAGACCTCTGTTTTCCACCCAGTTCTTCCCTCCCCGCAGCTCGGCGCATCTCTGTCTGATCGCGGCTTCTGTCTGCTGCGCGGGCTGCTGGCTTGTGGAGCTCTGGGATGGAAACCTTTCCACCCGGTTCTCCCCAGCGGCAGCTCTGCGCATCGCAGATCGCAGCGGCGCTTGTCTGCTGTGCGGCTGCCGGCTTGTGGAGCTCTCGGAGACCTCTGTGTTCCACCCGGTTTTACCCAGCGGTTAGCCCGGCGTATCTCTGACTCAGAAGCTCTGGTGTTGTGCACAGTTAACTCCGGTTGTAGCTAGGTTGCTACCTCCGTTAGCTTAGCTCCCACCTCCGCGTTAGCTGTAGGTTAGCTTGTAGCTAGTTCGACCGGGTGTCGTCAGTTGATCCCAGCCTTACAGCCACACCCTCAGCTCCACCTCTCTTCCCTTTTGTGGAATTGTCTGGGCTTGACAGAACCTGTGACACGGTCAAAATGGCGGTGGTGACCACCTCCCATTTATCTTCAAAAATGTGTTATTGGAGCCTATGGAAACCCAATGTCCAATATTTATATGTCGATGCATTGAACTTGATTAAAAATGACTTCTTTCTAAACTTGTGAACAGCTGGATGACATCCTGGACCTGTGGCTTCAGCTTCAATCTCATCCAGGAGATTTTCACAACATCGTCTTCTAGACGTGTTCGACTGTCAAAGGACTCAACATTTACTGTGAGCTCGTAAAACATGTTTCACACCCTGATGCAAGGTACACACACACACACACACACACACACACACACACACACACACACACAAACACAAGCCACACTTCACCACTTCCCACAAACACACATGAAAATTCACGTGTTTCCCCTGTAAAAATCACTCCCCAATTTACTATCATCTTGTGGTTCACCAAGTTTCCACCTTTTATACAGATCAGTTATTTCCTATCACTGCCATAACGCTTTGGGTTAACAATTGTCTTAATTCCATGCATGAAACGATAAGCTGTGTTTGGTACTTTTTGTCATGTCTCAACTGCTGTTTGTAATAAATTCACAAAACTTAAATCATGCCTGATCATTGTCTAGCGATCTCGAGAATAGTCGACGCATTCTGACAAGAATTCAGCTTTCAGATTAATTTTTGATGTTAACTTTGAGGCCGATTACATTGAGAAGATATAGATATTAAATCCAATGGTACAGTTTCACAAAACTGGTGGTGCCCCGATTAATTAATATAAGATTATAAACAACTAAACAAGCTAAATCTACACCACATTTGAAATATAGATATAAATCTATTTTTATCACTACACTGAGAATGAATAATGTTTAGTTCTGATGAGTCTGTTGTCCTTTTAGTTTGGTTTTGTATCGTTTTTATTTTGCTTGATCTTCTTAGCCTTTTGTGGGATTAAGGCGAAAGGATTTAAATATTTGTTATAGCCATTTATTTCTGCATTTTGGTCTCTAACATTTTTTTCTACACTCTGTGGTAGATATTTCAATTCTTAAGCCCTCCACAGTGAAATCAATAAATGGTTTTAACCGAGTTCTGTAGCGTTTACCTGTGTAGCGGTAAGCTGAGTATGACCTCCAGCAGTTGTGTAACTCCCTCCAGAACCCCAACAGTGGCTTCTCTGACCTGTCGACGTAGAGTCACACCTGAGACACCGGGAGACACACAACCCAAACAACACATCAAACTTCATTTAGACAGCAGACAAACATTTAGGTCAGTTTTAAATGAATTCATCTCAACCAGCAGGCAAGCTCTTATGTGTTTTTGTGCAAGAAAAGCAGAGCAGATGGTTATCCACATATAGAAAAGGGTAACTATTGCTTAGGCTACTTAGACATGTTTATGAAAATTGATTTTCTAATTTGAAAACAAAGCCATAGTCAACTATTAAAACCCAGAAATGATCATGTAGTTAATGAGTGTTACCATAGCTCTTGGGCAGCCAGTAATACACGGTGGACAGAGTCAGGAGGCTCTTCAGGATAGACTCTGATAACTTCTCAGCATCCTGCAGTACAACAAAGTTTACATGACAGCCTGAATCATGAAGGACTGAGAAACGATAGGAAGATAAACATATACGACTGAAAAGTTTGAAAGAACATCTAGCTCAGGTTTTAAACATTTTAATAAACAGATTGTGAATAGGAAATCGCTGAGTGGCACATGTCAGCATAAATGTGCAGTTTCCGGGTCTGCAGCCTTGTACCATTGAGGAATTCTTATGGGTGGAGACAGGACTTCATCAAATCCAAATGCCCTTTTACTGGGTTGAAGGGATGGCTTAAAAAATAAAATTCTATTTCAGAAATGATGACAACTTAATCGTGCCAATGGTAACATTTTATCATATACTGTGCCGACAGTTGTTCTGGAAGGTGTAAAATAACATGATACAGTCCCTTTACGTTTTGTGTGAATAATAACTTATAACAACAAACAAACTAACCTGTAAAGAGGGGAGCGGAGGTCTGGAGAAGGCTAGGCTGAGTTTAGTGGCTTCCTGGGACACTGCCTTTACTGCTTGGTCTGATTACAAACAACAGTTAGATAGATTAAATTTTTGATTATATAGTATAGATGACAGTGTCCTAATGTCAGAAATAATAGTAAGTCAGATAGAGCTGATGAGCAAAAGAGACTTGCCTTAATAGGTAACGTTCACATTATGTACTCAACAGTGCAAGATCGTTGATACAAAAAAAAACATGAAAAATCTTTTGTAAAAAAAATTGAAAACCTTAATATTGACAAATGAGATAATTGCTTTGTGCTACAGAAAATGGCCTAAGACACATATGTCAGACACAAGGCCCACGGGCCAGATGTGGCCCGCGGAGCATTTTTATGTGGCCCGTGAGATAAATATCAAAGATGTATTAAAACTGACCCACTGGTCGATTTTACCGCAAAGACTACAACTCCCATGATGCTTTGCAGCATTAGAGCAGAGCCGAAGCGCCCCCTCCTTTGTGTTTCTTCCAGCGTCTGCTGCCGGTGTCTGCAGCTCCGCTGTCTCGGACAAACTAAACACTCCTCTCACTCAGCGCCAAGTTAATCTCAGCCATTTGCCGACGTTGAAGCCCAGAAACTGAGATTTTAACCGCTCAGTAATGTGTTCACGACTGAAAGAGAAAGTTTTCCAACCAACTTCCAGACAGAGCTGATATAACTCCAGCGAGCGACACGCTCAAATCGGCATGACTCTGTGGCTGCTGTAGTTTTTATTTTTCCTCCCCAACACACAACAACGTGGTCAAGCTGCTCAGACGCTCTCCAAGTTCAGCAGCACAAACCTATGTGAGCACCTGTTGTCATCTAATGTTGTCATTATTATGATGAAGTCTCCTCCTCAGCTCAGAGCTCCTCAACCCCATGATGGCTGGAACAGGTGAGCATCACAGTAAATCAGTGGACCAAACTGAGCTTTACATATTTTGGTTTTATGCTCTCTTTCTGCTCCAAAACATGAAAGTTAGCAGGTGAGATATTGCATTTCATTTAAGATAAAATTATACTTTTATGTTGTTGTTGGCCCGTGAGAAAAGATTTAACCTACAGTAAAACAGGAACTGGAAAGGCTGCAGATGGATGAATAGAATAGAAAATCCTTTTATTGTTCCTCAGTGGGGAAAGCTAGACGTCACAGCAGCGATGACACTTATTACAGGAGGAAAAAAAGGAGAATAACAAATAAAAATGAACAAACAACAAGAAAACATAAATCCTTAATAGATTTTAAAAATGTTGAATATACCACAAGTAATGAAAATCACTGATGTGTTTCATTTCAAATTGACTGGCTCATGTGTAAATTGGTTGCTCCACATTCAGAGTTAATGCAAAAATAAGTTTGTTTCCAAATTTTAAAGTTTAAAATTGCATTTATGTTGAAAAAGAAAATGTGCAAATTTGCCATCACTTTTTCAAAAAATATTAAGTTTGGCTTGCAACTTCGTCCCAGATTTTCATTTTGGCCCAGTGTGAATTTGAGTTTGACACCCCGGACCTAAGAAAAAGAGTCAAGGAGTTGAACGTGTGGCAGGAGGAGAATTCTCATATACTCAACTCAAAGTGTCCCAGAAGTTAGAAAGGTTGAAATCTCCATCTGATTCATTTGACTCTCCATCTGCAGAGAAAATCAAAGGTTGTAATTACACTTTTAAACATGTGTTTTGTGATTATGTTGCTTCTATCTGGAAGCTGCTTTAGGTCAGACCAAATGTTTCATTGAGGTAAAAGTAAAAAGGTTATTTATTTACGTTGTATAACCCTAGCCCAAACAACAACAACAACAACAAAACACTTAAATGGAAATATATGAAATTATATACAGGATAACCTTCAGTTTGGTTTACTGCCAATACATTTCTGAGGAATGAGGTCTCTTACTACAGTCACTGGGAATGACACGTTACAGAATCCACTACATCAATTTCTCATAAGGATCATTCAGCTGGCCAACTTGCTTTTTTAAGCTACAGGTTTATTATATGTTTGGTTTTCGCAGAATTTGAGGGGCTTTTACGTAGCAACGAAACCTGTCTGGCTCAATAAGATAACGGTGGATGGCTAGATGACGCGTGACAATGTATCCCTGCTTGGCATTTGAAAAGTTACTTTCTCATTTTATTTGTCTTTAGTGGGCTGTTTAAAAGGCGACTGCACCGTTTTCCGTTTTAAGTTGTTTTAAATGCAGCCAACTATACACATTAAACAACAAAGACTGTTGCTAGCTTGGCACTAACACTGGCATACTGAGTTTTTTTAATGAGGTAAGAAATGTGTCTTAAATTTACCTCTGACTCGGTCTCTGATACACTGAATGGAGTTCAAAGCATTTCGTAAAGGTACGGACAAACTCCCGTTGATATTATCAGCACTCATGACGACGAAGTTTGAGGAAAAGCGTTAGCAATGCTGCGCTAACACGAGTGTTGTGGAACTACAGAAGCCCGGAACGTGGATCCGGGGAATATAATAAGCGAAACAATCAATCCCCCGGAAGCAGAAGAATAAAATGCGGTGAAATTGTTTACAGTGAAAACCACAGATACTGTATATATTCTTCCACTCCCTGAGCATATTTAATCTTCACTAAATATGAAACTACAACACTCTTCATACCTGGACTTGATTTTTCTGAAATGACAACATTAGGCTTAAATCCTTAGGCTTATATTTATGTCGATGATGCTTAAAACTAATGATTTTTTTTAATGTTTAAAAAGTGCGTTTTCAGCACAAAGATTGCATCTGAATTACATTGGAACATGTGTAGCTTAACAAGTACAACACTTAGATTCTTCAAATCTGGACTAGATTGTTCTATATTAATAGCAGAGTCCTTGAAATATAGTTGGTGGTTTGTGAAACCTAATGGGTGTATTTAATAAACCCATGCACATAAGAAACAGTGTTCATTACATTCATATAAAATGGCAAAAAGGTCATAAAACTTGGACTGTAGCCAATCAAAAAACTAAAATTGCCAATAGCCCCGCTTTAAATCCACAACAAAAAATCCAGTTTGGCCTATGGGAGAGCAGGGAAACCGCAGAAAGTCCCGTCCTTGTTTCCTGTTGAATTTTGTGACAAGTCTGTAGTTACCATCCAAAAAAGATTAAAAGACGAGGTTAAAGTTCATCTGTGAAATTGCTATTGTGAACTGTACGCAAATCAAAATAACGTAAAATTATAAAGTTGCTTAAACGTTTTCCATCAATAAATAGTTAGCACCGTTTTAAAATTATTTTGAAATTCACTACCGGAAGTTAGCTTTGTTTTGTAACTTAACTTGCGATGATCCATTTAATTGCAACCTGGGTCTAAAGTGACAGACAGTAAGTTTGAAACCACATATTTTCGCGTTTAGAGCACTAATTCTAAATAGTGTTCTCTTTTTTTAACGCTGGGGTTAGGTGGCTGAACTGCTTTGTTGATTTGGTCGCAGCCAACGTGTTGGTGTTGACGGAGGTCAGCAGGTCTTCGCCGAACCCAGCCTGCCGAGATGCTTTCCCCGGGAAGGACCGTGTCCTCCAGGCTTCTGAGGCCCGCCTCTTGGTTTCCTTTTCGGCTGGGCTGTGAGCGGTCCGTCGCCAGCTCCAAGCAGAAAGGTAACAGCATAACGGAACACACTGGCCTCTTCGTTTTCCTATGAGTATCTAGCATTAAGCTAATCCCAAAGTGACGCACTTTGCTGGGGTGACGAGAAACTTCACAACACCTACTGTGTGTTAAGTCCAGGTCAAATCAAGTAACGTGGAGCGTGTGTTGGGTTAGAGCTGGGACAGTGCATCCTCATCAATAAAGTATTTAATGACTTTAAAACTGAAGTAATATAAAATAATAACTAATAGTTTTGATTATTAATAACTGATATTATTGCTAGATTGATTGTAATCATATTCAGCCAAATGAAAGACAAAAAGCACAATGGGCAAAGCTGTTACAGAAACAATAGACTAGTTAACTTCAGATAACGCTCCGCTGTCCAGCACAGGAACAGAAAACATTTCAGATGAGCTGAGAAGTATCAAAGTCCAGAGTTTATAGTTTCCTTTTTAGAAAACATACACTACAATTTGGAAAACATAATTAATCTGGATAGATTATTATTAATCTAGACATTTCTTGCAGAAATGTTGTTTGACTCTGCCTACTTGGCTACTATGGAAACCATTCCTGTGAAGTTAGGCTCATCCAACTAAACAAAGCACCTTGATACCCTACTTGCGGCAATTGTTGAACAATTGTAGGTGTACGGCAAATACGTACAGAATAATCTTGAAAGAATAATGTGTACATTTGTGTTTTTTGCTGCAGAGTTGATCAAGAAACACGAGCTGGAGAAAGATGAGCTCCGGCCTCTTTACATGGACTTCCAGGCCACCACTCCCATGGTAACTGTAACTCGTGTGTTCTGCTGTGCGTCATAAAAGATAATGTTACTTATCATGTGACAACTATTTAATTTTGGGCTAAAATGATGGTTATTTGTGTGACTTTACCTTCATATAACCAATTTGTATTTGATTTGATCAGCATGTTTGAAGCTCATTTTTATGTGTACACACCCTTTTTATCACAATAAGTAACTTGTTTTGTAATTCAATAAATGAATGAACATCTGACTCAATACCCGAGAGAATGATTTGTTCTTTCTTTGCATTCCTGTTTCTTTATTCCTGTGTGTTCAGGACCCCCGGGTGCTTGATGCCATGTTGCCATACCAGGTGAATTACTATGGTAACCCTCACTCCAGAACACACGCCTATGGCTGGGAGAGCGAGACTGCCATGGAGAACGCCAGGAAGGTAGAGACACTGCAGGAGAAGTTGTCACATTATTAGTATTTAGGAATGGAGCAGAAGTTATTTCAGCATTCTTGTAACAATTAGAAAGATCCCAAATGCACATTGTGAGCATTTGGGATCTTTGTTTTCTTTCAGCAGTTAAATGTTATCCCTGTTCCTCTGAGCAGCAGGTTGCTGATCTGATCGGAGCTGATCCCAGAGAAATCATCTTCACCAGTGGAGCCACAGAGTCCAACAACATAGCCATTAAGGTGTGTTTTTTAACTTTTCTTCATTATCTAGCTACACACACCCCCTGCTGCCAGCGTCATCTCATTTTGTTTTGGGTAACAACAGAAATTTTCATTGTATTGAAAGTAGTTTATGTGGCTTTTAGAAGCTCAGGGTCCTTAACTCATTCACTGCCATTGACAACTAAAGTCATCATTTTAGATCCAACCGTTCACTGCCAATGACGACTAAAGTCGTCATTTGCAATTTTTTTTACTGTTTGAGCATCGGAAGGAGCCCCCGCGCTGAGAGAACAAACATCTCAGGCCTGAAGCCGATCTTCATCCGCATATGTCACACATCACATGATCAGGAAGCAACACATCCATGTGTTTGGAGATCGTTTTGGGCCATTCCTGTAAAAAAAAGTGAGGCGCAAACCAGAAAAGCGTCTCCCGATCACAATTCGACAATGGATTATGAAAGAACGGATAACGCTCGAAACATACGGCTTCTTCCTGATGTAAGAGGTGAGTCTCCTCTTTGTTTTGGTTGTTTTGGCATCGACATCATGCTAGCGCGCAACGTTCTGTGACTCTTAAAAAAACTGTAAAAACGGTGAGAAACGGTGAGAAACGCTGTCAGCGAAGGCCGTTAGTGATCAGGAAACGGCTGGCAGTGAATGAGTTAAGGAACCGTTCCCCAGTGTTTCCTCTGTTACAGTTTCAGCCAAACGGCTGCACACTTCGGTTTTTCATGAACAAAAAAAGAGCTATTATGAGTTATTTACAGAACAAAAGTAGGATTAGGAGTGGAAAATACTGTAAAAGCCTGTGAGGACGTTTTACAGACATCAGATGTAACTTTCTGTTGCTTCCTCCTCAAGGGCGTGGCTAGATTCTACAAGTCCAAGAAGCACCACGTGATCACCACACAGACGGAGCATAAATGTGTCCTGGACTCATGCCGAGTCCTGGAGGCCGAAGGATTCAGCGTTACCTACCTGCCAGTCCAGACGAACGGACTGCTGGACCTGGAGGTACAGAACTGCGTACGACTGCGCATTGATGTGTAACATTGTAGATGTCACTGTGTCTGTTTTCCAGCTTCTAGAAGCCTCCATCCGCCCTGACACCTCTTTGGTGTCGGTGATGACGGTCAACAACGAGATTGGAGTCAAGCAACCCATCAAAGACATAAGTAACCATGGCAACACTTTCTTCGTTGTTTAAACCTTAATAACACAATTAATTCACTCTTGTTTAGTGTAACAGAGTAAATCTGTTTTACTGTGACGTTATGGAAAATTTGAACCAGCTTTATTTATTCAGCAAGCTTTACGTTTCCTGTTGGCAGGCCAAGTTTGCCGGTCCAAAGGAGTCTTTTTCCACACTGATGCTGCGCAGGCTGTCGGTAAGATTCCCATCAACGTCTCTGACTGGAAGGTTGATCTGATGTCCATCAGTGGTCACAAGATCTATGGACCCAAAGGTTGGTGTTATTCTCATCAGTAGGTTACAGCATACTAAAGTTCACTCGTGTTTAGTTTGATGATATATTAAACTCAGATATTTGCAAGAGGAATGTAAGCAAAACACATTTTGTACAATTTTTTTGTTTATTTGACTGCGATGCATGTGTCTAGGTGTTGGGGCCTTGTATGTGCGCCGCCGGCCGCGGGTCCGTTTGGAGCCTCTGCAGAACGGGGGAGGCCAGGAGAGGGGCCTTCGCTCGGGCACTGTTCCCACCCCCCTGGTGGTCGGACTGGGAGCTGCCTGCAGCGTCGCCCAGAAGGAGATGGAGGTGAATACACATGAAAACGTTTTTCTTTCATGGAGCAAACACCCATTAAATGTCCGTTTGTTTGAGTTTAGTACGATCACCACAGAGTGTCCATGCTTGCTGATCGTTTGATCAAGAGAATCATGACAGAAGTTCCTGAAGTTGTGATGAACGGAGACCCGGAGCAGCGGTATCCGGGTGAATACACCCTTATGTTTGTGTGGATCATCTTTAGTATCCGAGTTTTGGTTGGAGTCGAGTTTTTTTTATGAACTTTGTGTTTCCAGGCTGCATAAACCTTTCGTTTGCTTATGTGGAGGGAGAGAGTCTGTTAATGGCTCTGAAGGATGTTGCCCTCTCATCTGGAAGGTCAGACTCACACTTTTAATGTTTAAAAGTTTAATTTGCATTGATGACATTTGTGTGGCTGCAGTGCATGTACGTCAGCGTCTCTGGAGCCGTCGTACGTCCTCCGAGCCATTGGAGCGGATGAAGACCTGGCTCACTCCTCCATCAGGTATAAATGTTTGATAGAAGAATGTTTCTTATGATTTTATTTGTTCTTTTCAACCTTAATTTACCTCTTCTTTGTATACAATGTCAGTCCTGCAAAGTGTGTATTTATGCTGTTTTCTAATTAGAGTTTAGCTCATAAGAAATGCATAATCTAAACTTAAATTGTACGGAAGTTGGGTGATGGGGGTGTTCTGTTATTAAAGCTCTAGAACAATTCAAAATAAAAAATACTTGGTTGTTGTTGCAGGTTTGGGATTGGCAGGTTCACAACAGAAGAAGAAGTCGACTACACAGCGGAAAAATGCATCCAGCAGGTCCGTAGGCTCAGAGAAATGAGGTGAGTTTAGGGTTAGGATCTTTAAGTTGGAAGTAATTTTGACAACTTGGAAATGTGAGGTTCGAATTCATAAAGAGGACAAATGTTGCATTTTCTCTCACAAACTGACAATTCATTTTAGATTTTTTTTCATGTTTTGAATGAAGAAAAAGAGGCAGAAAGTTGAAAACCTCATTTTACTCTTTTACCTGATGTGTTTTTGGAGAGTGATCCTACAGCTATGAGCTTCCATGCAAACGTTCATTTAGACACAAGTTATATATGACAGTCCTTAAAGAGCAAGTCACCCCCAAATCAACTCTTTTTGCTGATAAACTGTTGAAACGAGGTCTATTGGTGCTGTAGACACGTGTAGTCATTGATTTGGCATTTTGGTGCATCTTATTTAAAATATAACTATTCTGCCTTAAAGGCATACTTTGCAACTTTTTCATATTTTTAAATAATTTTCTTGAGCCTGTATGTGCTAAAGTGACCCTTTACAGGGTTAATGAAAGGCCACCCAGCTCCTATCGCCCCCTGTGGCCAGAATATCACACTTCACAGTTGCCGGTTTGGTCTGTTGGGACTTAGAAAAAATGAGCTGACATACCTGGCGCTGCAGTCTGCTTCCAGCACATTACCTGCATGTTTTAGATCATGAACACAGCTGATGTGTTTTATTTAGTGATGAATCACCTGTAGACACTAAAGAAGGCTGGGAGACATTTCAGCTATCAAGTGTTAAAAAGATGAACGCACAGCGCAGAGATAAATTTTGCTCTTGGTTATACAAACAGACACTAGGGGGTGCTAAAAGCAATCCAAATCTGCCTAGTCTCCCTTTACCATCGTTGATGTGCCCTCTTCAGCCCAAAAATCTGCTCTACATTTATATTCACATCAGCCATCGCTAGTGGCTAAGCTGGTATTAGCTATGTTAGCCAATGTTTCTGACATGGCTGCAGTGCACTAGAGTTGAGTTTGTCCTTGGGCAGTTTCTCAGGCACAGATATGACTGACACCATGTTTCCACTCTGCCCAGTGCTGCTCAGGCAGGCTGCATACAGACGATACCACACACACACACACACACACACACACACACACACACACACACACACACACACACACACACACAGCTTCACACACACACACACACACGGACAGGAAGCTCATTACAACCAGCGCTTTGTGATTTATATCTGTGAAAGGCGCTATATAAATAAACTTTTACTTACTTACTTACTTTACTTACTTCATCAAAATTGAACATCAGTTTTAATCAAATTCAAATGGGTAACACTGCAATAATTACTGTAAACGTAACAATTTTCCTTCACTTTCTGTCTTCAAGTCCTCTGTGGGAGATGGTTCAGGAAGGAATCGACCTGAAGAGCATCAAGTGGACCCAACATTGAATCCAGTTCACTTCCTGTCCAGTTCCCAGCTGATGAAAATGATTACAGTTCCCAAGAAAAACTTGGAACGGTCCAGCTTTTCTTCTTCAACACAAACACGCACAAACTCCCTGTACAGTCTGCTTTTTAGCTGAGCTCCGTATTTTTTCTAGAAGCTCCTCCAGTGTTTAGGACTGATGATCAACACTGCAGCCTCTGCTTGTTCCGGTCATTCTCCAGTGAGGATTTTCCTGATTACACAACTGTTTAGAGACTTTTAGGCCACCACTGGAGTCTGAGTTTTGAGAACTGAAGATTTCCTGCAGAATATCAGCTTTTACAGTTTTCTGCATCGAGTTTATAAACTGCGATTAAGTGGTGGTGAATGTAGTCTGCAGGACTTGTAGCTCATGCCACTTTGAAAGACACTGAATTTTTTTACTTAACCAATTGTGAGCTGAAACCCCATTTCCCTGGCTGATGGAGTTCCAGCAGTTATTGTGTCTGTGTGCTGTCATCTCCTGATGTCTTTGACTAACCCAGTCCACATTTCATTATTAACTCATCTTTCACACTTTAGCATGCAGTAAATAAATGCAGCCTTTACAGCAATGTTTCCTGAGTCTAGGAGCTTCTTCACTAGCATCATAGAGCTGGTTACAATGATTCTATTATATGTTAAATCACGTGCATCCTCAAATCTATGAATGGAGTGGATCAAATGTAAACACGGTGGTACCTGCAAGTGCTGAAACTACAGAGGGAGTGAGGAAAAATTCAGCATGCCCATTAATGTTACAGCTGTGAATGGGATTGGGGATTTCTTCATTTTAGCACTTTTCTCTGGTGTGATTGGTCAGCAGCGGCAAATGCAGACACTTGCCTACCTACCATCAATAAATGCGGCTAAGCTTTGTGATCTAACAAAACTGAATTTCGACCCAGAGTAGGTGTATGTGTGGCACTTTTTTAATAACTGTTGAAAATTACAAGGTAACACTTATGAGAGGATTTGTTCAAATCAAAACTTTTGCTTAAGTAGCACCTTGTCAGTGTGTATGGGTTTATAAAGTGTTGCTGTATTGTCACGGGTGGTTGAAACTTCCATTGTTATCCAGTGTTGTTAATCACACACTGATATAAAAGTCATGCTGAGTGATTATTAAAGCTGCAATGTTGACATATTTAATTAAGCCACTTTTAGAGTTTTCCATTTTTAAGTTGGAACAAAATATTCAAATCTTAACATGAATTATATTTTAGTGGTGTTCTGATTTAGGGTTAGGATGAATATCAAATTTTTCTTATTTTAAATGGAAAGAATATTAGGTTAAGGGCTCGTATTGTATGTCTACGAATGCGTCAACTTTGTAAATACTAATAAAGTGGGGAGTTTTTCAGTCATTTCATTTTAAACCGATAGGGCGCGGCATCACCCTGGAACAGCGAGCGGCTCCCTGCGAGATTACGTACGTTGTCGCGGTGTTTGAGCCGACATTTCGTGTTGTAGCATCCTGCTGAAAGAAGAAAAGACGTCTGTTAATGATTTTTTTTCTCTGTGTTATTTGTCAAAATTCTCGGTAAGGTTCCATAAGTGACAGGCTACCGAATGATGTTACGTCAGTGTTTATAAAAAGGCGCATTCTGATTGTTGTTTTTGCTCCAAAACTCGCAAAAAACTGGTTTCGTTAGCGGCTAGCGTGCTAACGGGACGTAGCCTGCGAAGGAGCGAAAATAAGAACATCATTTGGGTTTATTTGTGATTTTAGCTTTTGTCTGCAGAGGTTTTATTGTGATTTAGTGTTTGTTATACCTTTTTTGGTTGCTTTGGTTAAACTATTCAGTTTGCAGCTCTAAGATCGTTTCCCAAGTTTTTTTTTTTGAGAAATTACAAATAAGCCATCGTTATTTTAGCATTTTCCTGTGCGAAAATAAACAAACTTGGATCTCTGGCACGGACAGGAAGCTCATTACAACCACGCTTCACCACTGCTGAGGTGACATGGACTAATAAAAGCGACGCATTTATTATTATTTTTTTAATTACGTTTTTTTATTTAAGACTAAGTATCACTCTAAATTGGGGCCTCATGAGTTGCAGGTTCCAGTACAGTGTGATGATTTAATGTTTTACAGTTTTCATGTCTTTGCTGATTCTGAAACTGTAAGTGGTTCTGGTATTTAACACTTATCTGTTGTCTCTCCTTATTTACAGGAGTGTGCCGTTAAATGGCGTAGGGCTACAGTTGGTGCATGATACTGAAGACAAAAATAGAATACTTATTTTCTCCTAAACCCTTGTATTATTTGTGCTCTGGGATAAAAGGTGAAGCTCTGTGTAAACGTAATCTTATGCATTTGAGGTGAAAAGCGCAGTGTGGGCCTGATTATGTGTCACGTGTTTGCTGGTTAGCTGAGATCATCTTTGGGGTTACTCGAGTTGTTCTGCTGTTTTCAGTAACATTGTGCTCTGGAAATGAACCCTGCAGTGGTTAAAATGGGCATTTGTGTATTTCAGCTTGTGAAGATGGCATTTTATTGCTCGTTTCTGAATATACAGTATTGCAGTTGTGTTGTAGCCTGGCAAGCCAGACTAAATAAATGTATTATTTAACTTTGCAAAGCAAGAATTTGGTCTAGTTCACTAGGCTAGTTGTGTTGCACTTCCTGTGGAGAAAATTTCATTTTCAATTTGCTTCCCTGCTCCTTTAGTTGAAAACGTGGCTTGGATGAATTATGTCTAGAGGTTCGGGATTTTGTTTCCATATTAGCTGCTGTTTTCCTTTCCAGTGTACCTTCACCTCATTTTACTGTTTGTTTCACCTACTTCTTGGTACTTTGATGCTGATTTTTGCTAAGTGAAATGTGTTAGTTGTGTTGATTTTAAAATGGAAAACAAACAACTTTTATAATCTATTTTAAAGAAGCACTGTAGAAATTGACCCTGATCAGAATGCTGGTTTCACTTTGGATAATGTTGACGTCAAGCATGGTGTTAAAATGTGACTTCAGGCATTTTTTATTTAAATTGGTTTTCATCTCCGCATGACCAAGAGAATACAGTGATCCTGTCCATCCTGGATAGTGATAAAGTTTGTTTGATGGAGCTGGAAGTGCTGCTCCATTTGCGTTCACTCGGCTGAGCTGCGTATTTCATCATTGATCGCCAAACATTGCATCGTACCTTGTTGCTTCTTTGATTTTCTTTTCTGATGCTGTTATTTATGCTGTGCTGGCATTCAGGTTTGAACGTTGCTGTGGTTTACATGATGCTAATCATGCTCTGGATTCGTGTATCTGACCTCTCTTCAAAATGGCTAATATGTGTCTATGCGTTTCTGATGTGTTAATGCTGTTGCTGCTGATAAGATACTGCTTTGTTGATGTTTTTGTTATTGGCGTGTTTCTTTTGATATAAAGAAGGTGCTTATGTGCTGCCTGGTGACATGTGGCGATACGTGTCTGGGATTCTGCTGAGATTGTTGGTTAAATTCTTGAGTGTTACTGATTGTGAAATGGTTTCTGCAGTTGCTGGTTGGGTGGATCCTACTTTGTCCTTTGGGTTACTGAGATAGAAGAGAAAAGTTGAGTCTAGGCCAGTTCTAAATCGATTATTTGTAGTCGTCATGATGAGGTTCGTATTCTGACTCTTGCCTGGTTCACGGTTAAATACATTTTTTCTTGCAACTCTAAAATAATACTGCATTGAACATATATTTTATATGATTGTTCTTTTTTTACTCTGAATGAAATTATTTGACAAAAATAAATACAGTTCCCCAGTTGCTGATAAATGTCTGTCACCCGCAGCTAATGTAATATTGCCATTTTGTTGTGTGACCAATGTTTTGAACAGGAATGTTTGTTTCTCTGACCTTTTCACCAGGTTTCAGTGTCCTGCAGAGACCCTGTTACTCTGTGAAACTATACACACTGCTTAGTTGCATTGGTGAGTTTCAAGTTGCATGAGATTTATGGTTTACTTTTGCCAAACATATTACATGCTCAGAAGAAAATCTAAAAGTCATAACTGTGCATTGTAAGGTAGAAAACAGTTAAACATCATTTCAAGATAGGGCTGCACAATACTGATAAAAATGTACATTGCTATTTTTCTAAGCTTACGGTAGGGCTGGCTGATTTAATGATTTAAAATCTGAATTCCAATCTGGGTTTTGAACAATTATAAAAGCAAAATGAGCCGATTGTTTGCTCCTCCCTTGCGGGTTACTCTCGCTCTGCTCCTAGTTGCAAATCAAGCACACCTCTATTTCTAACCACTTTTCAGATCTCCTTGATGACTTTTTCCCCCAAAAGCACACACAGAACAACCTAGCAACATTTCTGATGACCCATTGCTACTTTCTGCAGAACTTTGTCAGCGATTTTCTCTTCAGATTAGCTATAAACCATCCTGCACTCTGGACCATCCTTCAAGAAAGTAGAAAACGTAACGATGTCCACAGCGAGCCATAGATTTATATCAGTGCTGAAAACTCTCAGTGCAAGACATACCTGTGAGTGTCTCCGCCCACTCTCACACCACACGTCCTATTTCTCACCCTAGAAAATAACAATAGTTGATCTATCATCTGAGCTATATGCCGCTACTGTACGAAGCCACCATGACACTGTTGAACAGGACTAAATGATTGTTATTTATTTTTATATAGAACATTTTTACAATAAATAAATATCTATCTTTTGTTATCAGTATTTGGAGTATTTGTGTTATCAACGTTAATTAAACATCGTGTTAAATAATTGAGATCTCAATTTCAGTCAAAATAATCATGATTACTCATTTTGCCATGATAGAGCAGCCCTAGCTTGTGATATGTGTTGCAATATTAAACAATACAACAGTTTTCAACAGATAATTTGAATAGCATTTTAAGTTATGCTTTACTCCTGCCATCCGGTTGACATTTAGCCCGTTGTGGTACCACGAGCTGTAAATTAATTTTTTTTGGGGTCAAATCAATGTTTTTTTTTACCATGATGAAATCAAAACTGTACACAGTAAATGCCTTTGTCAAACCACCCAGAAATGCAAAATAATGTCCCAACTTACCGTTTAAAGGCTCGTGTCATTGACAGAATCATGTTAAGCAAAAAAACGTTTTTATTCAACAAGGGTCCAGTCAATGTAATACAAAGAAATAGTCCACTACAAATCTTATGTCCACAATCTGATTAGATATAATGCTGAAAACCATAGAAATTTTCATTCCGAAGCATCTGTCAAACGTTTTGTCATAACCTTTGTTAGTATTAGTTTCACACTTCCGATCAAAATCTTACCTGAACCAATACTTCACCTGCTGCAGCAAAGTACTCAGCATTCTATTAGCTGATAGGTCAAAGTGCTGCCTCATTCTCATTTGTGCATTGAACCAGTTGCAGTACAGCGTGTTGTTGATTGATGCTTCAAATAGCCAATGAAATTCCGAAAACAAAATCTCACATAACCAACCACTCACAGCCTGCTTCTGCTAAGTTAGAACAGTTGTGACTGGTTGACTGCTGCGTGGCCTTAAGATAACCCGTTGCGTCTGACATTGCAGCGGGACCTATCGTGCGCACATACACTACAATGTTAATTATTGAAAAAACATTGTGCAGCTCTATTTCAAGAACCAAACTTCATCAGTTTTGGTTTGCTGATTTCACCCAGATATCCAGACTGGAACCAGTTCATTGCATTTTGATACCCACAAATGTCCTTATTTTAAGTAAAAAAAAAAGTAATAACAGTTCCATTGTGTCACCAAGTCTTTATTAGTTTAGAACCAACATGTAGCAAGATTTCTGTCATGAAGGCTTATGATGCATACAGAATTTGTTTTACAGTTAAAAGGCTTATTCTTGGCTTTTCTAGTCTGTTAAGTAATACAATTTTAAAGTTTTGTAAGACACTGAGTTAATGCTGATTTTACATTAGGACCAGTGGTTTTGGTAGGAAATGGGTAGTAATGCTACTCTACATGCACTCATGTCCTTTTCAAATGGCTTAAATTGGCTTGAATGACATGTACAGCAATATCTCCACTCTTCTGTACGTTCATTCTGTGTATTTTGTCACCTTGCATTGGTTGGTTCTTTTAAACAAAGAAAAAATGAGTTCTTCTTTACCTTGTTTTGCTAATGTTTCGGCTAATTATTATAGCTGTCATCAGAGTTACCGTCATTCCTCTGCTGCCCACAGATAAATGGAAAAAGAAGTTATGCCACCAACATCTGCACAACTCTGATGGCTATTGTAAGTAAAGCCGGGCGTACACTGTGCAACTTTTTCACTTTTTTGAGCCGATTTTCCACTCGTGCGAGAATCCACAAGATCGGGAAGAGTTTTGCGCTGAGCGTTGTGTAGTGTACAGGGGCTTACGAGAGGCGATTAACACCACGTGGCCAGCTACCGATCAGCAATCGTGAGCTCGCACGGACTTCTGGAGTGTTGGATATTTTGCTCGTCCCTCGTGAGGGTATCGCACTGTTGAAGCGGCGCAGCGAGCGGCTGCGACACAAAACGTACCAGAACCGCTCACGGCGCATGCGCAGTCATGCATCAACACCGCTCGCCCGCTATTTCCCTAATAACACACGTTGCTCGTTTTTATTTCTACACGTTTTTTTTACTCACTAAGATGGTCAAGAAAGCGTGTTTGTCGTGTTCATGTCAAGTTAAACTGATCACAAAACACAGATTTGTGTTCATGTCAAGTTAAACTGATCACAAAACACAGATTTGTGTTCATGTCAAGTTAAACTGATCACAAAACACAGATTTACTTTCTTTATTTTGTTTTCCTCTTCCAACCCCCATAAATCCATGTGTGTCCTCCTGCAGCACTCCTGAAGGACAACAGGCAAAACAAGTCAAAAAAGTCTGACGTGTTGTGTAAAAACTGCTACTTTTAGCTTATTTTTTAGGTCCAACGTGTTGCTACCAGACATACAGTGTGAGCAGTCAGGTCGCATCCGAGAACTGGGTCGTGCAGTGTGAGCACATGGCTCGTGAGATATGCCCTGCGAGGAAGTTGTACAGTTTGAGCTGAAGCTGAGTGCTACGAGTGAAAAAGTCGCACAGTGTCCACCCAGCATTATTAGCTGAAATGTTTGCAAAGCAAGGTACAGAACAACTCTCTTTTTTTCTGTTTAAAAGAACCAAGCAATGAAAATATCTCCACTCAGTGTTATGTGTTTGTCTTGAAAGAAAATCACTCTGTTTATGCTTATAATTGCTTTCTTTGTTATTTTTACTCTTGACAAATGCATGCAATGTTTCATCCGACCATTTTCAGATGGGACAAATTTATCAAACATATTAAAGCAATCCTTTTTAGCTGCTTTGTCAGTTTATTATTATTATTATTATTATTATTATTATTTTTTTTTTCAAAATTCTTATCTTAATTTTTTTAAAGCACCTCTAGTTTTCCAAGTCAGGCTCAAAATATTTGTGAAAAATTCTTATGAAGAAAATGTTAAGCTATAACTTTATTTGCTTATAAATTCTGAACTCTGAGAAGCATTTTGAATCTACTCTCCTTTCTGCTCTTTGTCTGATGGTAGTGTTACTTTCTCCCCAGGTTGTAGCGCTGTTGTTTAGCAGTCAGTATGGCAGTAGTCATCAGGCTGCAAGGTCTGCCCATAGTGGCTGGCACCATGGACATCAGACACTTCTTCTCTGGCCTCACCATTCCTGATGGGGGAGTGCATATCGTTGGGGGTGAACATGGTGAAGCTTTCATCGTGTTTGGCACTGATGAGGATGCTCGACTAGGGATGATGCGAACAGGCGGGTCCATCAAAAACTCAAAAGTGTCACTGTTGCTTAGTAGCAAAACAGAAATGCAGAATATGATTGAACTTAGCCGCCGTAGGTTTGAAGCTGGAGCTGTAGAGATAACTGCACCTGCAGCAGGAAATGTTAACCGTCAAGCAAGTGCAGCCTCCATTACTACAGTGCAATCAGGGGCAGGAGCACGATCTGGTAGCCATGGAAACCAGGGTTTCAGTAACACCCCAAGCTCGGTGACCACAGTAAGCACATCTCAAGAACAACAGAGCAGCAAAGCAGTTGTCTCATTATCCAATGTGGTGCCAAACTTTCCCAACAGCTACAGCTCAACCCCAACAATCACGACAGCTCTGGCGCCACTCAGTGCAGGCCCCCCACCGATGCCTCCACTTTCCAACATGCCATCTATGCCCCCTATGTCTACTCTTCCTACAATTCCAGTTCCTCCTCCAGTGTCAACTCTCCCCCCAATCCCTTCTGTTGCCCCACTATCCCAAGTACCCCCAGGTCCACCTATGTCTCACCTTCCTCATATGTCTTCCCTTCCTCCTTTCAACCCTTCTCTACCTCCACCAGCAGGACTAGGTTCAGGCCTTCCTCTTGGAACTCCGAACCCCATGCTTTTTAACCCTCTCTCTCCTCTGGCCTCACTTGGCCTTCAGGCCCATATGAAAGCTGCAGCTGCTGCTGCAGCCACTGGGGCAGGAGGAACCAATCCAGATGAATTGTATGTTCATCTGCAACATCTCCCATTCTCCTGTACAGAGATGGAAGTCAGAGAATTTTTTCGTGGTCTGGGGGTGGAAGGGGTTCGCTTACATAGGGATGGGCATGGTCGATTAAATGGCAGGGCTATGGTCAAGTTCTTTTCACCCCAAGACAGTTTTGAGGCCTTGAAAAGAGGTGGTGGCATGATGGGCCAAAGATTCATTGAGATAACCCCAGGTTCTGCCCATCAGTGGGCAAGCCTTAATGACAGTGTGACACTTCTTTCTCCTCACACTATCGGCAAACCAAGTAACAGTGAGTTACAGGACCAACAACTCCGCCGTAGTAATATTGGAATATTAGGCAGAGATCAACGAGACCGGTCACGATCTCCACACAGAAAGGAATTCTGTGTTTATCTAAAGGGTCTTCCTTATGAAGCTGACAAAAAACAGATAAAGGAGTTCTTTAAGAATTTGTCCATTGTGGACGATAGCATCTATATTGCCTATGGCCCAAATGGGCGGGCTACAGGAGAGGGCTTCCTTGAATTCAAATCAGAACAAGACTACAAGCATGCTCTTGCAGCTCACATGCAATATATGGGCTCCCGCTTTATCCAAGTTCACCCAATTAGCCGAAAAGGGATGATTGAAAAGATTGATGCTATCCGTAAACGTGAATCAGGCCAGGGGGATGGCAAGAACCAGGATGGCATGAAATCTCCAAGGAATTGTGCCCATATTACCAATATCCCTTATAATATTTCCAGAAAGGATGTTAGTGCCTTCCTTGAAGGTGTGGGCATTTATGAGGATACCCTCAAGGTTCTGACAGATAGCCATGGTAATGGTTTGGGGCAAGCCATTTTCCAGTTGCAAACTGAGGAAGATGCTCGCAAGGTTGAAAGGCTGCATAGGCAAAAACTTAATGGCCGTGATGCTTTTATTCATCTAGTTACCTTTGAGCAGATGAAGGAAATTGAGCGAAATCCTCCACCTCAAAACAAGAGAGGGCAACGCAACCAGAACCAAAACCAAAATCAGCACCAGCAAGTGCAGCCCAGTCCCCAGCAAACCCCAATCAATCCCTTCGCCGGAGTCAGTGGTGAAGAGTTTAATTTCTTCAGAAACACCATGGGGAACATCAACAGCAGTCCCTTTGTGACTCCATTCCCTGCTCCAGGGAATGGACTGGCAGGCCCCCCTCCTCTCCCCCCAATAGCTGCAGGGCTAGGGGAAGTGAATCTTGGTGTCACTCCGCCCCTAGTACCAGGAATTCCTGGACCACCAATCTTGGAGCCACCTGGCTTTCGTCCTGGAACTGTGGGAGGAGCACCATATGGCCAAGATGGACTCAGAGGTATGCCACCTTTTGACAATACCAACAGAAAAGGTGGTACTGGAGGACAAAACAGAGGAGGGGGGACCAACAACAACCAGGGACATCCAGCTGGTGGAGCTGCTGGTGGACAGCAAGTGTTCACTCCAGGGACAGAAAACCTCCGCAACCAGCCAGCTCCAGGAGGATCCAATAATCCCAATAATCCCAACAATCAACGTGCTCCTGCTGGCCCAACAGTTGTAAAACTGCAGAATATGCCTTTCACTGTTAGTGTGGATGAGATTTTGGACTTTTTCTATGGCTACCAAGTATTGCCAGGCTCAGTCTGTCTACAGTTCAGTGAGAAAGGCATGCCAACTGGCGAAGCAATGGTGGCCTTCCAGAACCATGAGGAGGCCACTGCTGCCGTCATGGAACTCAATGACAGACCTATTGGAGCACGCAAGGTCAAGATAAGCCTAGGCTGAAGTTTCACATAAAGGAAACTGTAAATAAAAATGTAAAACTGCCTGGATCAACAGTCTGTTATGAAAAAAGTCCACTTCACCCATACTTTATCCTGAATCACACTTACTCTTCAAGAACCCCATCAGGACTTTGCCCTGTTCAGTGACTGTCAGTCATTATCAAAACATCTCTGTGTAAAAATCAACAGGTAAGCCATGTCCTTTGCGGTCTCCATTAAAGATTGTAATTCACACCTGTCTTTTTTTCCTCCAGTTGCTTTTCTGACTGCTTGAATAAATCAATGGTGGTTGTGGTCAACATGGTTACTTTGATGACAATTAAAGGAGTTTGGTCCATTCCTACTCAGTTTTCCCAACAGTTAAGCTTTTTTGCTATGTCTACAGTCACCTGTTTTTGCTATGTTAAACTGATTATTGTAAAGAGGCTCCAAAACATTGATGCTGTACATGCTTTAAAATGCTTTGGTGCTGTGGTTTGAAATTTACATGCACTGTTGCTGTGGCAAAATGTTAACATGCTCTGTTGCTGTAGTGAAGAACAACCAGCATGTTGTCATTATAAAATGTCTGTTCTGTTGCAATTGGTGTTTTATCTTCATTGTTGCCACATTAAAATCTTAACATCCTCTGTTGCTGTGGTAAAATCTGCTGCTGTGGTGAAGTCATCCAAATCCCTGTTGCTATGATAAAATTATGATGAAAAGCTATTTTGGCATGGTCAATTGTGATCAGTTGACATATCTTTTCCTGTGGAGACATCGACTTAAAGCTGTTGGTAAAGTGATGCTGTGAAATGGATGTGGAAAGAAGAGTCATGTTTTCATCTTTTTTTGGGGAGGGGTGGGGTTGCTGCTAAGTTTCTGTCTCAATATCCTGATGTTGCTGTTTCTGAATAATGCTACCCCCAAAACCCTCTTTTCTTCCCCCTCATGCTTAGTAGGTGTTGGACTGTGCTTAGATCAAATATGTAGTGTTTTTAGTTTGGTAGCATGATGTTGCTTGTAAGGTTGATTATGAATTTTTATGTTTCTATCTCATATTTGTTTGTAATTTCAGTGTGAATTAATTTGTATGATCCTATAACCATACCTGATGTGGAGTCTACTCTCCGTTGGCTAATAAAAGGACATTTGTCAACTGCGTTGTTCTCTTGCAGCTGTCTGCTTTTCACTTTCTCATGATGGAAACTTGCCTTTGGTGAGCATAGAGTCATGTGAATAATGTTTTTTTTTTTTAATATACATATGCTCCATGTATCAAGCGCATCAAAAGGTGTTTGGTCATCAATAAGCTAAATTATTATTGTGCATTGCAGGAATACGTTAAATCTACTCTAGGGCTATCTTTTTAGCAGAGACGTTTATACATTTACATGTTTTTAAAAGTTCCTAGAATTAAAACTACATTTACCGTCTTGAATATAGGCAGCTTGGGGTGTCAAATGTACCATACCTTGAAGCCGGTGCCATCTGGCTTGTTTTCCTATGCAACCGAGTTATTTTGAAATGGCCACAGAGAAACTTGGTTCTGAGAAAAACTGGTTTAAAAGGTCATAGGTGTTGATGCACAAAACCTTATAATCCACTTCACGGTTGGCAGTATACCGATTTTCGTAGCAGTAATGCTAATCATAGAGCAACTCTAGCCCAAGTTACTGCTAATGTTCTTGTTCGAGAAGAGGAAGATGACAAAGAATGTGGGAGCAACATTCCAGAGTGTATTGGGAGTACCTGATTTACTGACAGCTTGCTTTATTCATATACTCTACACATTTTTACAGAGGGTTTCTAGTTTCAGGCAGTGTCCTAAAGCCATTCGAGCAAACCGGCCAATCAGCATGCAGCTTATTTATTATTGATGTCTTGGTTAAGGCAAACCAGTCTTTCCCTCAGAGCTTTAATATGGGGTTGTATTTGACTTTTTATGGCTCCTGGGTCATTTTGAGCCCCAACAAAGTTTCATGTGCTGTATAGTTTCCAATTTGTACAAATGAAAGTGTTCGAGGAACCTTTTAAGTTGGCTGCCTCAGCTGCTCTGAGCTTCTTTGCAGCACATAATGCATCTTTTCATTCTTAACTTGACAAGCAGTCCTTTAATGTTTTGAAGTATTTCTAGTAGAAATCTAGTCTGGCAAGCCATTCTACACATGTGAATAAAGAGAGATGCAAAAGTTTGGGCAGCCTTGTTAATCTTCCTGATTTTCCTGTACAAATCGTTGGTTGTTAGATAACATTTTTCTGTTAAATCTATTATATAGGAAACACTGATATTTGAGAAGCGAAACAAAGTTTATAGGATTTACTGGAAGTGTGCAGTATTTGTTTAAACAAGGTTAGGCAGGTGCATACATTTGGGCACCACAAAAAAATTAATTAACTCAATATTTAGTAGATCCTCCATTTGCAGAAACAACAGCCACTAGTCTAAATCCTTCCTATAGCTTCCAATGAGAGTCGAGTCTGGCTGAAGTATTTTTGGACCATTCTTCTTTACAAAACGTCTTCAGTTCATTGAGGTTTGATGCTTCTGAGCATGGCCAGCTCTCTTTAACCCACACTAGATTTTCAATCATATTCAGGTCTGTAGCCACCACCATGTTTTACTGTAGGTAGGTGTTTTTCTTGGAGTGCTGTGTTCTTATTCATCTATGCACAACACCCCTTGTTATGCCCAATAACTATTTCAGTTTCATCAGTCCACAGCCCCTTATTCAAAAGTGAAGCAGGTTTGTCCACATGTGCTTTGGCGCACCTCAAGAGTCTCTGTGCTATGGGTGGAGAAAAGGCTTCCTCTGCATCACTCGCATACAAGCACCTCCTTGTGTAAGGCAAGGCAGCTTTACTTATCTAGCACATCTCACACACAAAGGCAGTTCAACTAGCAAGAACAATAAAAATCAACATAAAAAGTGCACTCAAATTAAATTTTGATTTAACAATTAAAAGAAAAGGACAAAAAGTGACCAGTTACAGTGCAGAACAGTCATTCAAAAACCAATGAAAACATGAAGGTTTTCAATTTTGATCTAAAAGTTTCTCGAGTTGGGGCACATTTGAGGTCATGGGGAAGCCGATTCCATATGTGAGCAGCATAGTAGCTAAAAGCAGCTTCACCCTGTTTGGTTCTGATTCGGTTTTACCAGCTGACCGCTTACTTAGGATCTCAGAGCCCTGCTGGGCGTAGATACCTAAAGAAGATCTAACATTTATTCTGGCCCCATTTTAAACTAGTAGAAGTACTTTGAAATCAATTCAGTAGTTTACTGGTAACCAGTGCAGAGATTTAAGAACAGGAGTGATGTGCTTGGTTCTCTTGGTTCTGGTTAAGACTCTAGCAGCAGTATTCTGAATAAGCTGCAGTTGCTAAACAGCTTTTTTGGGGAAGACCAGTCAAAAGATTGTTGCAATAGTCCAGCCTGCTGAAGGTAAACGCATTAATGAGTTTCTCTAGGTCTTGTCTGGACATGAGACCCTGAGTCATGTTATTTGATGAAGATGAGAAAACGCTGATCTAGTTATAGTCTTAACATGAGCAGTGAAGTTCAGGTCTGAATCAATTATGACACCAACATTTCTAACTTGGGTCTTTGTCATTATTCCTCTGGAGTCAAGCTGAGTAATAACCTTCATCATATCCATCTTAATTCCAAAGACAATAACTTCAGTCTTGTCTTTGTTTAACTGGTGGAAGTTTGATTAGATGCAAACACTGACGGAGTGAGTCGAAGGGACAACAGTCACTAAGTGATAGAGCGAGGTAGATCTGGGTGTCATCTGCATAACTATGTGTAATGGTATTGTTTATGACCTGACCCTAGGTGTGCATGTAGAGACTGAAGAGCGGTGGTCCAAGATTTGAGCCTTGAGGCACCCCACCTGCCATGGAGATCAGTTTTGATTTGTGATCATCAGTAGAGATAACATAACGCCTGTCTTTGAGATATGATCAGAACCAACTATGGACTGTGCCTGTTAATCCCACCCAGTTTATGAGCCTACCAAGAAGGATTTTGTGATTCATGTGAGATCGAGCATCAGCACAGATGTTTTGCATGAATCCGTATTTAGATGATTATCATTTAATTCCTTAATAAGTGCAGTCTCAGTGCTGTGATGTTAAGCCTGACTGAAAACCATCTAGCAGGTTATTGTCTCCAGAAAGTTGTTTAGCTGGATCATTAGTGCTTTTTCGATTATATTCCCAATGAAATGGAGATTAGAGATTGGTCTAATTATTCATCACTAAGGGATCTAACTGTTTTTTTTTTAAAGGGGCTTAACACCAGCAGTTTTCAGTGATTAAGGAAAAATCTATAAATTCACAAGGCTGCCCAAACTTTCGCATCCCACTGTATGTATAGTCTGGCCAAACCCATAGAAAATCTCAGTCATGGGGCAGAATCTACTGTTGCACGTCACTGCATGCAACAAAGTGACATACTCAAACACGTGACTGTTTTTGTGAAGTGCCTCATGATTTTTATCTTGAGAGGTTTTATATAAAAGATTGTTTTGTCTTTTTTTCCCCTCATTGCCACGGATGTCAGTCAAGGAGGCAGTCTGCCATACACTATCGAAGAAAATGCAAATACATCCTTTTTCTAAATAAAAGTATGTATGTCTGCTCTTAACTCAAAGAAAAGCCCAAGTCTAAATAGTCCAACAAGCCGCTGCCTTCTTTGTATGTTCGTTCAGTCGCAGTAACATCCCACCCACCAAACCGATAGAGTGCTGTGATTGACAAGAAACAAGACTGGCTGGGTCTGCTGAGGCTCTGCTTGAGCGTGGGTGGACTCAACCTGCAAAGCAAAATCATGTTGCTTCTGCTATGGTATATCTAGAGTTCTAGGCTAGCAGAAATCATCAGTGGCAAGAGTTTGGTCTGAAGAGCAAGACTGCATTCAGGAAATGGTAAACCTCCAAACAGGTACGAGTGAGTGAGTGAGTAAAGAGCTGGAACACTGGTTGGTGAAGATAAAATGGATACTGTGCAGCTAGTGTGTGGATGGCAGAAATGTTTGGGTGAAAAGGAAAATTCTGTGTGAGTAGAGTTAGTTAAGAAACCGCTGAGCTGCTGGTGCTCCCTCCTCTTGATTACTGAAAGGCCGAGTTTGCAGTTGAGTGAAGGACTCAAAAATACTCTGATTACCACATTAGGATATAGATGGTTAAAGACCAGAATCTTGCTGTCATGCAAAATTAGATTAGCTTTTAAATGTGCCTTCTTATAAAAGGTACACCTGTGCAGATGAGTAGCCAGTAAACCACACACTGCATAAGGTGGGATGTTAATGACAGCCTTTAAAATGTGTTAAATTTAGTGCTGAAGATTTAAATACGGATGATTTCACTGTTAAAGCTTCAAATTATAATAATTTGCCAAATGGTTTATTTAATTTTTATCTGCAGTCATCTGTTAATTTTAAGCCCACATAGTAATGTTTAAATAGCCTAGAGCTATTTACATTACAGACAAAAATTATGGTCTAAAAAATACATTAAAAATTATACAACAAGTCATTTTTAACACTTAAAAAGCTATAAACTAATATATCTATGTATATATATATATATATATATATATATATATATATATATATATATAAATTATAATTGCTAACTGATTTTCAGTTCTGTAAAGACTTTAAGCCATAAATGATGCCATTAACACAACGGTTAATTTAATTCTGAAAAGTTAATGTCTCATTTTATAAAATGTATTGTGGAATTAGTGTTATCAAAACTTGAAATGACTTGTAAATTACAAGTGTCCTTAATTTTTTACATAATCAAGTGTTTTCATCAGATTTTACTTTGCACATTATACATTTAAACTAAAGTAAATTTTATTTTATTTTTCATAAAATAAGTCAATTTTTGATGCAAGTCTCTAAAGAGAGCAGAACATAATTAAAACTTCAAACGTTCAGTTGTGGCCATCTAAATTCAATTAGTGTGTGTTTTGGAGATGCATGCTAGTTTCCTATTAATGGCTCATAGATGAAGCAGATATTTAGCATTTCTTTACATTGCAGATGATATGAGATGGCATAACGTAACTTGACATCTAATGTGAGTAGAGAGGTTTGCTGCAGCCTTTGCTGGAAAGAAACAGTGTGATGGAGGTGGTAACTTTCAGAT